GTGAGGCAGATGGTTGGACCAGACCGGATGGGCCGCTGGCCTGGGCCGCCATGACTTCTAACCTTCTTCGTGCTGGTCCTGTCTCTCTGGCCGGGATCGGTGCCAGTCGGAGATGCGCCCCCTCTGCAGAGAGAGAGAGGCAGTACCGCGGATGCAGTGCCCCGACGCGAGCAGTCCACCCCCCCTCCCTTCGCCAGTTACATGTCTCCACCCACAGGCAAGTTCAGAGGCTGGGAGCTCAGACTGGTTCTTTATTGGGGTGGGGTGGGGGAGATCGGGTACAGGGCTGGGTCACATCTCCACCATCTGCTCTTCTCCCCCTCCAGGAAGGCAGCCAAGGAGCCTGGCTGCGGTGCGGTCCTGGTCCTGGTCAGCAGAAGAAACCTGGGGATAGCGGGCAGGGGGCTGCTGCTGCCACCGCCGTGGCCCGCTCAGACTCTCGGGGACCCTGGAAAAGAAGAGAAGGGCGGCGTCATCAGCCCCAGGTGGGTCCACACCCCTGCTTGTGCTTGGCCCCTCCTGGGGAGAGCCACCGAGAAACGACGGGAGGGGGGGATGCTGCAGAGATTAGGTACGGCCCAGACTAGGCCAATCGCATCGGATCCTGGAAGCCACACAGGGTTGGCCCAGGTGGGTCTTTGGAGGGGAGACCACCCAGGAAGCCCAGGGCTGCTGCGGAGAGGCAGGCCACGGCCGACTCCCACCCGGGCCCCCAGCACGGAGGCTGCAGATGGGTGAGGGATGACAGAAAAGGGGGAAGGGGGCAGGGCCGCCCGCCAATGTGGGGCAGAGGACTGAGTTCCTGCAGCTGGCCCCTCCTCCCCTAACTGCCCCAGCCCTCCTTCAGGTTTAGTGGTGGGGCCGTGGCTCTGTGGGAGATCCCCTGCTTTGGGTGCAGGAGGTCCCGGGCATGTTCCCCCAGCACCCCCACCTGAAAGGGACGTTGTTTCAGGGGAGTCTCTGGCGAAGGCCTTCCCTGGTGCCGGGGACAGGCCGGGAGTCAACCTGGAGCAACAGCCCCCCAGTCCTCCTTTCCGGCAACATTCAGGCTGTGTCCGCACTCTGGAGACCCCGGCCGGCTTCAGCACCTCTGTCTGCCCCGCCTCTCTCCCCCTATCCCGGCCTTCCAAATCCGTCTCATGCTCAGAAGCAGAAAAAGAGCACTGGAGCACACAAACACACGAAGCTGCCTTAGACCGGATCAGAACCACTGGTCCAGCCAAGAACACTTTCCCTATGAGGAACGGTTAAGGCGCTTAGGGCTCTTTAGCTTGGAGAAACGACGACTGAGGGGTGACATGATTGAGGTTTATAAGATTATGCATGGGAAAGAGCAGGTAGAGAAAGAGGTACTTTTCTCCCTTTCTCACAATACAAGAACCCGTGGGCACTCCATGAAATTGCTGAGCGGTCGGGTTAGAACAGATAAAAGGAAGTACTTCTTCACCCAAAGAGGGATTAACACTTGGAATTCACTGCCACAGGAAATAGTGGCAGCTACAAGCATGGACGGCTTCAAAAGGGAATTAGATAAGCATATGGAGCAGAGGTCCATCAGTGGCTATTAGCCACAAGGTATAGATAGGGACTCTGGGGCAAGTGATGCTCTGTCATCTTGGTGCTTGGGGGGGGTCAACAGTGGGAGGGCTTCTAATGTCCTGGCCCCACTGGTGGACCTCCTGATGGCACTGGTATTTCTGGCCACTGTGGGATACAGAGTGTTGGACTGGATGGGCCTTTGGCCTGATCCAACATTGGCGTCACTTATATTCTTGTTAGAGGGAATTGGATAAACATGTGGAGCAGAGGTCCATCAGCGGCTATTAGCCACGAGGTGTAGGTAGGAACTCTCGGTTTGGGGCAAGTGATGCTCTG